CTTTTAGGTGATATGTTCCTGGAGTTCTGGAGAGTGGTTAGTAAGAATTGCGCCGGGAAGGTATCCGAACTGGCCCGGAGACTGTGACTTTGCTAGGGCAAACTGTTTGAAGACCTTTCTGCATGTGTTTAACCTGGCTGCGTGGTCGCTGGTCTTCTATTTAATCATCTTTTGTTTGTTTGTAAGTCAGTGTGGGAGTTTACAGCTATTCAGGTGCACAAGAATATTATACACACACACACACACACACACACAATACTTATGTATAATACATATTGTGAAAATCTAAACATACATACCCCAAAGGATATTTTATGTACAAAGAAAACACGTTCTTATACGTCATTATGTGTGGCCATAAAACACATTATGTAGTTAAGAAAAACCGCTGTTTCATTTCTTATAAACCGGAAGCTAACGATGCTGAGACCAGCTGACCTTGCTGATCTGACCCTCGGCCACGGGCCCACTGGTTGTCAGTAACAACCCAGAATGTCTTCTGTCGTCAGCCAGGTGGCACCACTTCAGCCCGTTATGATGATGCTAAAACTGTTCTGAAGGGAGAGATGAGTCCTGATTACCAACACTCGCTTTCAAGCTACTGGGTGAAGCGATTTCTTCTAGAATACCACTCTGCTCCCCAGGTCGCTCAGCAACCTGAGACACGAATGGAAATCTGAGCGAACCCTGGATGAACTCCTGTGTGCGCATGTGTCTGTGTCGTGCAGAAAAGAACCTTCCGTGTATTTTGTGAACCTGACACTTCCCGCGCTTCTGAAAAGAATGCAAGCAGATAGAGCTGGTTGAGGCATAGGAAACACTGTCTCCTTTATGCAGTTTTCAATTCCTTTTGTTGGGAAGAAGTACTCTGAGCCTTTCTTCAACCATATCAAATGTGATAGATATTTGGAAAAATCCTATAACCTTTACAAATGATGCTTTAAATCTACATGAAAATTGCGGCCACAGGTAATTCTCATTTCCTTATTCAACTGTGTCAGCGTGTTCCCAGGGCGTTTCCTGTAACATATGTCTCCGTCCGTTCCGGCTGCTGTAACAAGATGCCACAGGCCGGTGGCTCACAAACAAATGTATTGCTCAGAGTTCTGGAGGCTAGACGTCTGACCTCAGGGTGCTGCACTGGCAGGTAGGGACCCCCTTTCGGTCACAGACTTCCTGGAGCCCCACATGGCCAAAGGGGTCAGGGAGCCCTCTGGGGCCTGCCGCTCTTATAAGGCAATGCACCCCTTATGGGGCATCACCCCCCGACCTAACCATCTCCCAAAGACCCCACCTCCTAGCACATCATCTTTGGGGCGTTAGTACTTCAGCGTATGAATCTTGAAGGGACTGAGGTCAGATCACAGCAATGTGCAAATATCTTCTTTCATTCTCACGAACATGAAATCTTGTTTTTTTAAGTTAATAACGACATTAGGCTTTTGATAATAACAGCACAAAAAACAGGTCGACCCAGAGCCCTGCCATTGTCCATAGGAAGGGCAGAGAGGAGCTCACAGGGCTAGTACAGAGCAGTGAGTCTCCACTTGCACTCAAACCCACATTGTCTGCAGGCTCCCCGAGCTTGCCCCGGCCAGTGGGCACCTCCGAGGGGCTGCTCACAGCACCGTGGTCTCTGGTGAGACAGAGTCACGGACAGAGAAAACCGCACTGAGAAAATCCCTTCTCTGCCTGATTCATACCTGTTTTTTACCTTTTTAACTCATTATTTCTTTTCTCCCTTTTATGTTTTTTTTAAATGTACAAGATAATGAGCCATACTGTTAGCTACTATGTATTGAGCATTTGCAGAGACAGGGCACTACTGTATGCACGTGACATGGATGATGTCTTAGATCTCCTCAGCAAACCACTGTGGGCAAACATATACATTAGAATCACCCTGGTCTCAGTCAGATAAGGACATGGTGACACGCTTAGTGATTTTAACTTTGTGCCCAGGAGTACAGAGCAATCCCAGGTCTGCCTCACTGACGCCAGACTCTCGCTGCAGCCATGTTCTCACGCGGCCTCCGCGTGCCGGAAAAGCCCCGCGATAAAAGCACTTTCGTGGGCCCCCACATGACACCATTCCCACCAGAAGATGATGGCGGGTTCTAAACACAATAGAGCTACAACCAGATGATGACACGACAGCAGAAAAGTATATTTCTAAGCGGACCTTATGAAAACCCACGCACACACATGCACAGACATTGAGAACCAGGAACAAAATGCTTATTACCGATGTAACTGATATCGTAGGTCATTGTTCCCGCTGAATTATAGGACTGCTGTTACTATAGAAGGAGGTTGACAGTGGCAAATGTTTTCTTTACGCATTGCTGTGCTCTGTGAATGTCTATGAGGAACAAGATGGGCATTGTGCTCATCTTACATAGAGGTGAACCACTTTTGGTGCAGGGGCAGAGCTGGGGAGTACACACGATATCCTTCAAGTTTGTGAGTCTTAGCCCATCGAAGTTCCCTGTGCTTTTCACAACGTCGTACTGGAAGGGCCGAGAAAGGTTTGCAGACCTCACACTTGTAAAGCACGATCTGGCTGTTGTCGGTTTAGAGTTCTTATAGCGAACCCCCCAGCCCTCCTGATGCATTTTTTTTTTATTGTTAAAGTGAAATATACAAAAGGATGCCATTTGTTTTATTGAATTATTGACAAAAACGGCCTGGCGGTTTCTATGGGTTTTATGTATAAGTCGTCATATCTCCTGCTTTGGGGCATTCAAAGCAGTGGTACACGGGGTGCTTGCGATTGTCCAGCTAATATATACACTGGGCTCAGTGTATGTATTTGTTTATATGATAGGAACTGGGTTCAGGTTATGGATGTGTGCTTGACATGACTGGGGGAAAGCGCTCACAAAGACAAACAGTGTTTCATTCCCGACTTGGAAGAGAAGCACATCACCCCCCGAAAATATTAGTCTATGGTTTCATGACTTGCATTTTAAGTGACATTCTACAAGCGCAGTATGTTTAGCATCTGGTGTGGCAAGATTACTATTTCCACATCTTTGTAGGCCATCCAACTGTTACAGGGATTTACGACACAAAAGATCACATCAAATAAATTTAAGATGGTGAGGAAGAAAACTCTGCCCGGGCAAGTGTCTAGCTATGAATGAATTACTGTGTTTCCAGCGTTGCTGCAGAGCACAGATCCACTGACCCCCGAACAAAGACTGGCGTTCCATACTGACGGCGGACACTCACTGCTCGGGGTTTATGCGTTTCACTTGCACAGCAGAGGATGGTCAGTATACTGTCCAGTAGGTGGGACTGGAGGGAGTTAAGATTTACAGTGGTATCGACTGTTGCAAAAGCACGGTACTAAAAATGTTCGTACTGCCAACTTAAATTCCAATAGCTAAAATAAGGTTGCTAAAAATGTTAATGGAATTGTTCCCTTATCGTGAAGCTATGAAGGTTAAAGAACCTACTTTTGATATCACTCTGAAGCAGTGCTGTGTTGAAACAGAAAGGTAGACAAATATAGATGCTTTTATCGAATGGGAGTGTGACATGATTTCATAGCCTGCCACTGGGTATGGCAGGCATGGCACTGACCGAGCCTCCATAATTTATATTCACTTTTTAAAGGATTTCATTGGGTCTCCTCCTGACCTTACTCAAATTGGTCATTTGAAATCCCTTACGCTGAAAGCCAGCCACACGTGCGTGCGATAGCAGGAGCGAACACTCGCTTCCACGGAAGGGAGGGCGGGTGTGTGGATGCGGCCGCACGTGCCTTCCCGGTCAGGAGGCTGTTCGTTTGCACGCGCACGCTTTCAGGAAGGAAGACGTCCTGCTTTGACGCGATTGTGTTTCATGTGACTTTCTGGTATGAAAAGTGGCCATTTTAAAACAAGCAGCCTTTGGTTATTAACAGCCTATACTCAAGGAAGCGCTTCTGACTTACAAATCAGATTTCAGAGTGAAGAATCAAAATTGATTTTATGAGTTTGTTCATTGCTTTTTCCCTTCTATGCAGAACAGCCTGATTTAAGTTCGATTTGTGATTCTAGAAGGCATTCGTGAAATACTAATATTTAGAACTTATTTTCACTTGGAATACTCTGAACAGTTCCTGAAGTATGTTTTAATATTTTCATCAGAAAACATTTGACGTGGTGAATAATTAATGCATGAACTAAAAAGTGCTTTTTGTTTTTTTCTGGGTCATATGAGGAGGGAATGAAAACCTCACATTTTAAAAACTACATTGCAATGCCATTTTTAGAAAGAGCAATAACTTAAAAAACTTAAATGTCATTAATTCCCAAAATAAAAGTGTTACAATATTTCCTTAAATCTCATGTGAGACACATGCAGTATATTTATAAAAGTTCATTCTGTGGATGTGATTTGAATAAAATTATAAAATAGCTAGTTTTTTTTGTTTGTGGTTTCAAACAACTCTATGTTAACAATAATTTCAGAAAATAAATCTGACACTTAAAAATTAACACTACTCATAAAAACTTATATTGGAGTATGCAATATTTTATTGGAGGATGAGATATTTGATCTCATTTATACATATTTCCAAGAGAACATTTTTCTTTTTTTTTTAAACTAGAGTTACCTCTTTTTTTAAAGATTTTATTTATTTATTTTTAGAGAGGGAAAGGGAGGAAGAGAGAGAGAGAAACATCAGTGTGTGGTTGCCTCTAGGCGTGGCCCCCACTGTGGACCTGGCCTGCAACCCAGGCACGTGCCCTGACTGGGAATCGAACCTGCAACCCTTTGGTTCACAGCCCACGCTCAGTCCACTGAGCTACGCCAGCCAGGGCCGAGAACATTTTTCTAATAGCATTTTTAGTGATGGGAAATTCATACCAATGATTATGACCTTGCTCTTTCTGTGAGAGCTCTCATGAGCTAAGTGCTTCTACCAAGATATTAGCCCAAATATTAATAGAACGCGGGCTGAAATGCGTCCTAACCTGTCTAACCATCCGTGTGCATTTCCTTTCAAGTCTCAAATATCAATCAGTGTGGAGGAATGGGAGGACACCAAGGACTGCAAGGAGCAAGGCCTTCCCCGAGGCAACCACCGCAACTCCACCTGCAGCGACCAGGCGGACCACCCCCTGCTGAGGAGAAAGAGCATGCAGTGGGCCCGAAGACTGAGCCGCAAAGGTCCAAAACACTCTGGTAAAACAGCTGAGAAAATAACCCAGCAGCGACTGAACCTCTACAGGAGGTCAGAGAGACAAGAGCTTGCTGAACTTGTGAAAAGTAGAATGAGACACTTGGGTCTTTCTACAGTGGGCTATGGTATGCGCTCTCCAAGTCTTGTGTGATATGGGCTTGTGGTTTCGGGCCCTTAGTCGTTGTAGAGCTGGCTCTCTCTTAGCAGGTGCAGGATGGCGCTTTTGGTTCACGGGCCCGTTGGAAGGGGTAGGGCCGTGTCCTGAATCTCTTACAGAATATGATGATGATGATGATGATGACATTAAAGTGCTGCAAGTTTTCAGTATGTGCTTAGTTCTCTAGGCACTGTGACGAATGCCTTATGTAAATTATCTTCACTTTAATTTTCACAAAAACTCTCCCATTTTACACATAAGGAAACTAGGTCGAGCGACTTATTACTTAGCTTGTTATTAGCAGGGCGGAGGTTTATGTCCAGTCCTTCTGGCCCCAGTGTCTGTCGTATCTACACCCACACACCCACATGCATCCTATTCTCGGGCCTGGAATGAAATAAATTTGAGGCTTTGGCAAGTAATGGAATGTACCAGCCACAGATAAACCAAATGTTCCTGCAAAATGTGTTCAGGTTCTTGTTATCCAGAAACAAAGTCCTCAAAAGCTTTCATTTAAACTCAGATAGAGCTTGGTCTGTCTCGATCATTGTTAGCCCCCCCATGTTGACCTGTGATTGCAATATAGACCACTTGGCACAGCTTAAATAATGCAAGGATAATTTTAAAATACATCACTTATTACTGCATACATTGTATTAAAGAAGAAATTTAGTCCGCTCAGAAGAAACTCGAACGATGAGGTTTTTGTCTGGTTCTGTGTGTGCCCAGGTGAGCCAGAAGGTACGGTCAAGTCAGCGTCGGGCAGGCTAAGGACAGAAGAAAATGTGTTCCGTATTTTCCCATCTCATCTTTTTTATGAAAGCCTCAACCTGAAAACCATACATAGAGAAAGATTTTAATCATTGAATTAGAGTTTAGAAGAAGTTAGCTGTGTTTCTTTGAAGCAGAAGAAAAGGAAACACATTTGTTGACTCCTCCTCTTTCCCAGGAACTGTCAGGTGCTTTTGCGCATTTCCTCATTACTCCTCATGGCCCTGATGCAATTCATGCCCCACTTTACCCTTCAGGAATGTGAAGCTCAGAGGCTGAAGACCTCGACCAAAGACAGAGTTGAAATGTCTCAGGGTCAGGGTTCCATAATCCACAATTATACTGCACTTACTTAGATGTAGCACCAACTCATCCGTGCCCCATCATTTTGATGTGATCAAACAAGGTCTTACAATAAAAAAACAAATTAAAGGAAAACAATCACTTTTATTTAAAAATATTAATTGCTCTTGGCCGATTTATCAAGTATGATAGTATTTCTCATAGAACTATTGTCCTCTATTTATGTGCACTTTTGTTAGTTGTTATCCAGCCACTTTTTGTTCCTTTGAAAAGTGCTGGTCAGTGGTTGCTCACCAGGTGTGGCTGTGGGTCATGACCATCAGAGCCCCAGCCGGTCCCGTTAGCTGTGAGTGGGTCACAGCTGGGCTCTGTGGGACACAAAAATGCAGGAGCACATGAACTGGCTGCGGGGTAACTGTCAGGGAACTCATTACGTTTCTGCTCATCAAACTTCCATCCGGTACCTTGCATTTCGTTATTCCCCATAGTTTTTTTTTTAATATAGTTAATTTAATTCTCACACTAACTACTCTTATGAAAGGAAGGAAGGAAGGAAGGAAGCAAGGAAGCTCTCTACCCTTTTCCTCTCTGTCTTCTGGCTTTCTCTTTCTGTTCATTCTCTCAACCCATCCATCCACAGATCCATCAGTTCATTCTAAAGCCATGCCCTGTACATGTCTAATCTCATAAAGATGATAAAAAATGGGATTTGGAACCAAACACATCAAGGGCTCCAGGCTCTCTGTGTATTTCTCATTCACAAAAATGCATCTACCGTTCACAAGATACCACTGGGCTGCTCCAAGCACGGGAATAGAACAATGACCTATTCAAATGAGATCTCTGCGTGCACGGGATCTACATTTTAGTGCCGGCCAGGACAATCCTTGAACTATTTAAGGTCTCCAAGCCCTTTGATCATTTGACAAATGGCAATAGTAACACCTGTCTCATAGGTTCATTGTTTAGGATGAATATGACAGTGAGGGACACCGGGCTTAGCCCAGGACTGGCATTTAGTTAATTCCACAGACCTACCACGTATCTATTTAAGTACTATAAGTATGTCTGTGTTTTATCCATCAAAGGGGCTTTTTTTGCCCACTTCAAAAACAAAACACAGTTTTCTCCCTTGGGGGCAACATTGCCCCCACTGAGGATGCGTGCTCTACAACTGGTATTATTGTGCACGCGTGCCTTCCTTCCTGGAGGGAAAGGGAATGTCTTCCTCATCTCTTCATCTTCGCACCCCCCCAAAATTACACATTCCCTGAGCCACAGGCGCCCGGTCACTGCGCATTGACCGCGTGAACAAGTGGCGAGCTTACAGGTGAGAAAACTGGGTCTCAGACATGAGCGGTTTCCTTGGGTCATGGAGCTGAGAGTGCATTCGCATCAGTGCTTTCACTGGTGACGGGGGCTCAGTGTCTTTTTACCTTTTCACTAAGTCCCACATACTTTCTGCTTTCGTGACCGGATCTTGTTGTGCTCCACGGGTGAGAGGGGTTTTAAATACTTTATATAACCCACGGTGGCTGATTGAATCATGAGTGATAATCTGACTTTTTCTGGGCAGCTCTGGCCTGTTCTGGGGGAAGGAACGGATTATTTCTGACTTGTTGGACAGGGGTATGAGGGACAGGGGAGGGAAAAGGCAGAAGAAGGCTCAGAGGGCTCCAGGTTGAACGACTAAGTGCTGGTGGCACTTACTAAGCTTAGCAGAAGGCAAATCTGTCAGGGTGAAGACAATACGTTAATCCGAGTGCCTGGAAAAATTCTGAGGGTGCTGCTGTGTGAGCAGCTGGCTTTTGGCTGTCTGGTGCTTAAGAAAAAGAAAGGAGATGTTTATACAGACCTGAGAATCACCAGCACATAGATTTTAATTAAATCCATAGGAGTGAGTGAAACAACCCCAGATGAAAGATGATGGTTGAACTATGAGAGAGAAAAGAACTCTGAGAGAGAACTCTGAGGGCATTTGCTCGTATGTCTAGAATGTCAAGGAAAGAAGCATTTTCTTTTAAAAAGCAAGAGGCTGAAGTGTCTAGAACTAAATTACCCCCGAAATGTGCCATGATACAATCACACGCTATCAGCTGGTTGCGTGTTCTATCATAGTAATGAACCTTCACAGCCTCACAAGCCCAGGTGGGCCCTGAGGTGGTCAGAGTCCCCCCCCGCCCCCACATGGTTACTTTCAGCCATAAGCTGTTTTGTCTGTTACCCCAATGTGAGGTGACAGCCAGTGCAAGAGTCATCGTTCTTGTTTCATTTTTTAAAATTCTAATACAGAAAATTGCAAACATGAGCAAACATGGGCAGAACAGCAGGAGGAACCCACGCGGGGTCATTGTCACGCTCCAGCAGTGATCAGCCCTCGGCCTGGCTTGTTTCTCGTGAATCCCACCCACTTCCCTCCCTTCTCGTATCATTTTTTTCTTGTTAAATTCCAGACATCACATATTTTCGTATTTACCTCTATAGTTTACAGCCTAGTTATGAACATAGAGTCAAACTTACACTGAAGATTTTTTCTATAAACTACACTACAGTGTGAGTAATTAAGGTTTTCTCTATGTAAATAACTGACCTTAATCTTTAAACATCTACTGAAATGGCTCTCACACTCACTAAAAATTATTCTTTCTAACTATCAACATAATTTTAACGTTGAATCCATGGGAAGATGCGTGTTTTTAACAGTGGAAACTGACGAGCAAGTCTCGCTGGAGGGACTGCGGCTTCGGCACCAGCAGACTTTGACATGGATGGTTCTAAGTTTCATGCTCTTAGTAAAAGAAGAAACGCCAAGCAAGGAAAAAAAAAAGAAATTCTTTTACGGGAGAACAGGGACTATCAGTTAGAGATGGGCATTGTTTGAATCCATCAGAAAGCCTAATTTCTTTGTAAAATAAGTTTATAATTTGCCTGATATAATGGATAAATTAACTAAGAACTGTTTTTTTAAGCTGACATGGTTACTTAAATCCTTTATCATTTTCTTTCTTATGGGAAAAAATAAACAAATTTAATAAAAGAATGCTATTCCCACCCATATCTATAATAGATACCGTGATGGTGGTAATAGTAACACCATCAACTTCTACGTGAAGACTGTAATAAATCACTGATCATTTACATGTAACTTTTCAACAAAAAATTCCCCCAAATTCTAATCAACAAGTCAGGTACCTTTTTCTAGTACAAAGCTATTCACAAATTCATCTTACAACAAATTACCAGAAAGGGGAAAGCCACTGTAGCTAAATATTTCTTCTGAAGGCTTTTGCAGCCTTGGTGCTTAGGAGGAGCAATAGAAGTACCTGAGATTGCTCTGGTGACTTCGTCAACAATTTGTTTTTTCAAAAGAAATCGACCCCATATTTATATTGTGTTTTTAAAATATATAATTTACCTTTCCCCTACATAAATGAGCACAATAATATTGATATATGAATCAATATATTCCCAGTACAGATTCCTAGAAAATGGATGATTTTGTGCTGTTTCTATTTCTGAAACTAATACCTTCTCACAAGGAAGCAGTCAGAAACAGGAGATGTACATGGGTTTTATGCTATTCTCATTCTGTACAGAGAATTTTAAAAAGTAATCTTATGTGTTTTTTTGAGATTTTATTTTTTTATTTTTAGACAGAGGGGAAGGGAGGAAGGGAGGAGGAGAACAACAATGTGTGGTTGCCTCTTGTGCGCCCCCTACTGGGGACGTGGCAGGCAACCCAGGCATGTGTCCTGACTGGGAATTGAACCAGGGACCCTTTGGTCCGCAGGCCAGTGCTCAATCCACTACGTCACACCAGCCAGAGCTGTATTTAGGATGTTGATAGAAAAAAAACTTCAAAGGTTTTCTTAATAGATAAAGTAATGAAGCTTT